GGCAGAGATTTTTTTCTTTTAAATAAAAAAGCTAACACGTTGCTTACTCTGCTAGCTTCCCTGATCTCTGTAAGGAGCCCGGCTAGAATACCAGTGATCTGTAACGAAGTGATACCCTAAGACCCTTGAGGGCATGGATGGGAAAAGCTGCCCGGACGCAGGAGTAACCAGTCTAGAGGTAAAATCGCCAACCGCTCAGCACTTCTAGTTTGGAGGGAACCGCCTGCCCTGGGCTCTCCCGGGGAAGTAACCACTGAGCATGTACATTTCCTCAAATAATTTGCATCAGGAAATTGTGGTGCTGCATTAAATAGTAAACAGTTAAGGTGTACTGTGTATTAGAAGTTTAGAGTAAAAGCAACACAAGTAAATTTTTCTTCACTAACCTAAAATAAGCCTGAAAGACTATGGAGGACAGCACTGCTATATATGTAAAGTCAAAAATACATGACTAAAAAAAAATACGCAATGACTCTATAGCATCTTAGTAAGCTGACGGACAGTGACTGTAATGGGGTATGTGGTGGGGACTTGATAATGGGGGGAATCTAGTAACTACAATGTTTCTCATGTGATTGTATATTAAGGAAACCAAAAAAAAAAAGAGGAAGACATGACAGTATTGGCAAGAATGTAAAGAAAAGGGAATCCTGTGTACCACTTACGGGAATACAAATCGATGCAGCTATTTTGGAAAACAATATATATGTTCCTCAAGAAATTACAAATAGAACTACAATATGAGTCAGTAATTCCCTCTGAGTATTAATCCAAAGGAAATGTAAACCTTAACTCTAAAAGACACATCCCCACATTCACTGTAGCATTATTCACAATAACCAAGACATGAAAACAACCTAACTATCTTTCAGCAGATGAATGACTAAAGATGTGGCACATATATGCAAGGGAATATTACTGAGCCATAGAAGAGGAAGAAATCCTGCCAGCTGTGACAATCAGATGGACCTTGACGGCACTATGCTAAGTGAAGTAAGTCAGACAAAGACATTACATGATTTCACATGTGGAATTTAAAAAACTGAAAAAAAAAAAAATAAGGAAAAGAAAAATAATAGGGCAGAAGCTAGAAAAACTAAGAATTTGTTGAAAACAAAGATTGTACTTAACTATGTAAAGAATTCAAGAAAAAGGTCCTGATAAAAAAGGCCAGTAATTTTTGAGATTCCTTGAAAGGTAAGAAGTTTTTACTGTGACACTTACTCTGACTCAAACCCCAAAACCTTCTATGATTGAAGCCGATCACTCCAGCCATTGGTAATTCTTTCCCTTAAGTACTGGACTCTTAACCAGAACAACCACATCTTCTGAGGCAAGACTGGATACAAGTGGCCAACAGTAAGCGAGAAGGGGAAGCTCCAGAGACACAGCTGCATGCACACCCCAACGAGAATAAAGGCTGAGGGGCAGGAGTGGTGGTTATGGAAACCAGGTGGTTGTTAGAAGGCATGGAAACTCACCCGTGAGCATCATGTTTCAACAAGCTCATCACAGGTAACTAGTTAGTTAATTAAAGAGCCTTGCCCGAGGTCACATGGTAAGCAGTGTGGGCAGTCATGATGCACAGAGACCCTGTTACACTGGGGGTGGTCACAATCAGCTCCCAGAGGCAAGGCCACCCTCGCTGCCTTCCATCACCAGCACAGCTGGGCTCAAGCCTGGGCAGGCCAGCCCTTAACTGGAGACCCTAACTTGGAGGGTTATAACTCGAAAGCAGGGAGGCACGGGTGCTAGCCAGATCCTTGGCTTACCTGTCCTGGAAGAGACGGAGGGCCTCATGCGCCCAAATCCGAATGAGGCCTTCCACAGGCAGGGTCTCCAGAGGTCTCAGAGCCTCAAAGATGCCTCGCACCCACCTGGTCATTTCACGGGGTGAATAGATATAGTGCGGTTGTGTGTCCTGAGTGAATCTCTCCTGCAGGATTCAGAAAAACAGAAGGTACTAGTAAATTTCTTGACACAAGACAAATGCTGTATAACACTTTATATTAGAAAGAATCTCGACTTTTAGAATATTTAAGGCTGAATTAATGTTGGAACTAGAAAACTGTCCAGAACGTGTTGAACCATGTCGCTCACTTTACGTTGAAATTAATATTTAAAGATTTAGATGTTTAAGCAAAGGAAACTACAAAAAAATTCTTCTGAAAATATTTCTAAAAATGTAATTCCTTAAGTTGAGGCAAAGCCTTTCTAAGCATGATTTCAAAAGCAGAAACAAAGAAAAAGACATGCATTTGATGACATATATAGTTCTGTAGGAAAAAGGTGCAATTACACAAGTTAAAAGCAAACTGAACACTGGGAAAAATGATCGCAATGTACAACAAGCAAGCACCCCTAAAGACTGAACAGATGGAGGCATCCCAGTGGTGAATGGGTGGTTCCCTCACTGCCTGCTGGTACAGGACTGGGATGGGAAGGCTCCACACAGAGATGCGAATCGAAACTCTGAGAACCATTCCTATCCATGGGCTGGGGGAGAAGGTCTTCTTAAATATTTGACTGCAGTATGGGAAGAAAAGCAGTGCTGGTGGGAGGGTAACTGGCCCAGCCTGGGGAGCAGGTGGCCACACCCGGTCACTACACACTTTGTAGAAGAATCACACACACTTACATGCTCATACTGCTAAAAGTGTACATTTCCTTTTGGGGACTGCACAGTATAGCCCCAATTTCCCAAAGGAAATTAATGTATGTGACATGTGTAACATGTAACAGGATAGCAGGAATGAGCATGAAAATGATCGTAGCCATGGTACCTGGGTAGAATGACCTGGTGACAGGCTTTGGAGACAGCCTCAGGAGCAGTGAGAGCTCTGAAGAGAACTCTGTCAACAGTCATTCAATTCCTGGAGGAGCAGAGAAAGGACTGTACCTGAGACATGGTATAGAATTCCACCATCGCGGCGGTGAGTGGCTCGGCGTATGTGCGCAGCGATGGAATAAGCCTCAGCATGGCCCGGTTAAAAGTGCCGTAGATCTGCGTCAGGGAGGCAGGTCCTGGGTAATCCACGTACACGACAGGCACATGACGCAAGAATCTGCACAAAGACAGCCCAGCTGAGCCAGTCCAGGGGAGGTGCAGGATGCCCGAATAGAGAGCCACCCTGTCCTGGGCCCAGGTTGTTCCTAGTCCACCCACTCAGGCTGTGCATCACAGTTAACAGAGATCATACACAGCTGCTCAGGCCTGCGTCTGATATATGATGGTAGATGCAGAAAATGTGACAAATAACAAAGCAAAGACGGGAAGAAGATGCAGGCTTTCTTGGGCTCATCTTGGCAGTGCAGACTGGGCTGGGGCAGTGGGTTCATCACCACCATTGGGTGGTGCTGTATCTTTAAGTGTGTCTCCTGGGTATGACACAGTGCAAGTGACCGGGAGGAACCTTCGGTGAGCATTTTTATAATTAAAGTCAGATTTTTGTCATGCTACATTTAAAGCAATTGTGGAACTGGTGTGTGTGAGGCCAAGAAGTATTCAGAGCCCATGTTACCTGTGAGAGAGGGGCTTTCTGCCAGGATCAGTGGGCGGGTTACAGGCCCCGACAAACTGGATTCTCTCCAGCTTCACCCACGTCTGGTCTGAGGTACGGTAGAAGCCCCCATGCTCCACCATCTGGGGGAAGGCAGGAGGGTTAACGTATCAGGAGCACACTCGAACAAGAAATGCAGTGGAGAAGAGGAGACTGCTGGGCAAAAACAGACCTGTCTGATGAAGGAGATGACCCTCTGGGTCCCGTATTTATCCATGTCTGGCAAGTTGATTTCATCACAGAACAACACCAGCCACTTTCCAAGCTGGACGGGAGCCAAGACCACCCCGTTGGGTGTGCGTCTGTACTCGCAGTAGTGGTCAAAGGTCTTCAGCAGGAGCTCAGGCGTGGTAGCACTCGAGAAGTTAAGACCCACGACCTGTAGAAGGGAAGAAACAAGCGACGCACTGTTAAGACCCAGTGCGTACCTGAACACCAGAAGGCCTGCTGCCCACTTTCTGGCCACTGTACCTCCATGTCAGGCAAGGCCCGGAGGGCGCTGAAGAGTGTCATGGTCTTGCCGGACCCAGGAGGGCCACATAAGACCAGTGGCTTGTGCTCAGCCAGCCAGGTGTACAAGAGGGCTTCGTGGCGGACTGTGTCTAGGGTCGGCACGACAACGTCAGGGGCTGCCACCTTGTGCGTCTCCACTTCGATCTGAGGCACCTTGGCCTGCCATGGTGACCACTCTCCGCTGATGGACACCTAGACAGAAACAGGTCACCCTGGAACTCATGTCTCCCAGCTTACAAGACTTGCTCACTTTCATACAAATCAGATCTTTCAACTTAACCTGCATTGCTTATATCACATAAAACTAAAAGGGTGAGATCCTTCTATGAAATGCAAAGCCCATGGTGAGGCTGCTCCAGGATGAACTGAACCCAGTGGGTGAGAATCAAGGGAGGAGGGCTGTGACCCTCGCACGTACTTCATAATCAATGATCGGTATGTTGGGTGCAGCGGGCAGTGGCACTGTCGTGATTCTTCTGATGTATTCACCCAGCTCTGCTCTCATCTTCAGCCGGCTGTCTCCAGACAAGGACCAGAGTATGGCATAAACCAGATACCGCTATGAAAGGAAGTAAATCCCACATTGATAAAACTTCAACAGTACAAGAGAGACATTCACAGCCAAGTGAACCCTAAAGAGTGGTTCCTAGCACTCCTGGGTCACAGTGCCATCTGCACCTTTCCGAGCCCCCTGGAGACCCTGACAGTTTCTTCCCAGGAAGGAGGTACACCCAGTGTAGTTCAAAGGCTACACCCAAGGCTCAACCCTGGGGCCACCCAGGGCCAGCCCCCGTCAAGCCCACTTCCTGCGGTATGGCCCCCCCAACCTGAATGTAGCGCTCCAGCTGCTCCGTCTGCATGGGGAAGTCAGGGTGGTTGGCGTTGTACTGGGCCACGTTCCGGCAGGCCTGGTGCAGCATGGAGAAGAGTGAGCCCAGGCAGCGGAGGCGGGTCAGGTCCATGATGTGCTCCAGCTTGAAGGCGTGCTCCAGGGCCTTGGTGACCAGGCCGTTGGACGTGAAGTATGGCTGCATGATCGTGGCGGCGTCCCGCTGGGTCTAGGAGAGGGGGTACGTGATGCCTCACTGCCACTTCAAAGAGCCAGGAGATTTTCCTGCATTCTAACCTAGGCCCAGGAGAGGGTCACACAACCTCCAAAAGTAATTTTTTGGATTGAAAAAATGATAAATGAAGCGTCCATGACAAATCCTTACTCCTCCATCCTGGTGGGTCTCAAAACCACACTGCATGGGGACACTAGTTTTCACCCCTGAAATGGAAAGGGCGGTCCTTTACCAGTTTGCAGAGAAAGCAAGATGGCTGGAAGGATTCTTTCAGTTTCCTGTGTATGTTTTAGTTTGGCAGCTGCGACTGCCGGGCTTCCTCCAGAGCTGGTGTAAGACAACACTGATCGTGCAAACCTCTGGGAGTGCCTGGCTTCAACACGAGTAGGGACCATCTGTGGGCAGGACCCTGACTCTGGGCGCTCGGGGGTGGAAGGCCGACTTTCTGGCCGAGGAACGCCGCCTCCGTACCTGCAGCATCGGGGAGGCGGCCTCCTCCCCCTCGTCCTCCTTGCCCTTGCGCCGGCGCTGGGCCTCATCCTCCCCTTCATCCAGGGGGATGCTGCGCAGCCTGGCCAGGAAGTTGTTGAAGATCATGTCCGTGCTGAGCACATCCTCGCTGAACCAGACCATGCCACAGCGTGACACTGTGGCCAGGGTGGCATACTTCAAGTCCTGCACCTCAAACATTATTCGCACCTTGAGAGAAAAATATTAAGCAGATTTAATGATGTGGGCTTGGTAGAAACCTGGATGTTAAAATTCTTTTACCTATACACAAACTGAAATGGCGATGTAAATCTAACTTTTCTATACTTAATTCTAAAAGTAAAAATATCTATGGTTCAAATCACTACCCTGTCTCCCCAAGAACTTGGGCAGAAATCTGTATGGTGGGGAGTGAACAGGTCAGACTACAGGGACAAACTCTGGGCGGGACAGGAGAAACAGCACCCGGGGGTGGGGTCAGGGGGGCGGAGCATGCCGCAGTGAACGTGCACGGGCTGCACCCTGGGCCCC